TAATTCACACGTAAACTATAGCCATAACACATCTAATAAAATTGTTGTAACATTATTACATGTACAATAATTCATCATACCATTCTGCACTGGAGGCAATATAGCAATAATAGATACCGCAACACTCAGAATAAATATAGAGCACAAGAAGAATATATTCAAACCACATCCACCAGGCTATAAATACAAACAGGTAATGAGCAATATATATAATGTAATTAAAACTTACTCTGACAAAGAAAACAAATAATAGAATGATTCCAACCAGTGCAATTAAATAGAATATGATTGTTGGTATTAGAAGAGCTACATACCACAAATTATTCTCAGTTTCTTTTTGTTAATCCAGCCTATAAAAAAATGCAACAAAATTAAAAACAGCAACAAATACAAAAATATTGATTAACTCAATAAATCAATTATCTTTTTGTACGAATCTGCAGAGCGGATAATAAAAATATTTTTATCTACATGCATTTAATAAAAGTGGGTGAGGTATGACTATAATCTAAATAAGGCAAAAAACATGCTGATAAAGTGCATAACATAGATATTTCCTAGAAAAATAACAGTACATGAAATAACTGTCACAACTTTACTATAAACTGTAATAATAACTTAATTAAATTCAATTTAAGAATTTAGGTATTAATCACTTGAAATCCAATTTCGGATTGTAATTTGTAATTTTTTTATGCCGCAGCTTGGCCCAAAACTACATACTAGCTATAATGATAGTACAGGGTCTTTGGCCAAATTTTTGAGCATCTTTAAATTCATAGGAAATCCAATTTTGATCAAAAGTGGTTTGAACTTTTTGAAAAATATATCAAAATGTATAAGTATCATAAAAATTTATAAAAGTTTACAATACCTCACTTGAAATTTTTGACAAAATTTGACCCAAGGAATTTTGGTGCAACTTTAAGCAATTAAAAAAATTTATAAAAATTCAATTTTGCTCACAATTCGTTCAAATATTTTACACAACATAAATACACGTACCATATTTGCCTAATAAGAAGCCAGGGCATTTATTCATTAACAGGGGAAAAATTTGCATAAAAAGAAAAAAAGGTTGTCAAAAGCAGGGATCAACCCATATCCCTAAATCACCAAACTGTGCATCAAGAGTTGAGCTATTTCAGTCTAAAGTTGAGACTACCTATAGTTGGCTAAAATATGCAGATCTATAGTGAGAATAATTTAAGGATAGGCATTTATTTAAGCTGGACTTCTAATCAGGCAAATACAGTATATGTATCACAAAAATTATAAAAGTATAAAAAATTTTTCTAGCCCTTTTGACAAAATTTGGCCCAAGACTGTGTACTATAGTAAACGGGTCTTTCAAAATTCATTTTAAAACCCAGTTTTGATAAGTGTAAACTAAATACCGTATAGCGGAAAATTTTCATGGCCCAAAATTTTTGTGGATTTTATGCTTTTTTCAAAATTCACGAAAATACAATCTGCAAAAATCGATTCAATATGGTTTAAGATGGCCGAAAAGTAGAAAACTATGAAAATTAAAGCCCAAAATTGATTTGTAGACAGGTCCACAAAAAGAAAATTTTCCACTATATGGTATACAACATCAGAACATGTATATGTAATGCATCAGAAAAAGAAAATTTTTTTTGACAATTTACCATGAATCAAAATTTTTTACAAAGCTCTAAGTACTAAGCAAGCTAAACAGCACACCACATGAGCTGGCAAGAAGCTGACCATTATACTGGGAAACCCTGATTGTCACTTCCATCTACATGTGTATAGTGCATGCATACAATGTGAAAGTAGATTGAGAACACTCCCTGTGTCTGTATTGAGTTGGTAGTATCAGTACACTATGGCTACTCAATTTTGACAAAAAAATCCAAATTAAATTCTGTTTATAATTGCAATTATGTAATTGTAATTATAAATGAGCCCCTAATTACTATGACAATTGTAATGGACCCCAAGTCTGCTACAACTATCTCTTACAGGCTACATGCATGTAAAAGTGGATGAAAGAAGTCCATCAGATATTACAACTAATACAATACATGCACATAAATACCTAGCTTATGATAAACAAATGAGCAGGAAGATAAATAAATTATTATAAAAATCAGTGTTTGAAAAAATCATTACACCTAAAATTGATTAAAACTTATATCAATTAACCCATGCAAGAATTGAGGCACATCCATTATTAAGTGCATCACCACTAACCAGCACATACGTATTACTGCTTGATGGTTCAATCATCTACAGGAAATATCTTCCTCTTTTACATAAGGATATACAAGAGTACATAAGAATCTTTACTAGGCAAACATCACTTCTAATTTATATGTATATCATCAATTTTTTCTTGTACTTTAGTAACAGTAATAGGCAAATCAATAGTTGTGAGAAAGAGATGTAGAGTAATTTCAAGAATGCCACAGAAAATTTATTAATGATATAGAATGACGTACATGTTATCATTCCTAGTATCAATTTTGAGGGTCAAAATTAATAAAAGCAGAAATTATAACAATTAACTATAACAATGAGCTTCTATGTGTTACAGGAATAGCCAGCTATTGCCGTAATGGCTAATAGATAATTCCTAGAAATTGTGTCACAACTTTACTATAAACTGTGAAGTTGCAAAAATTCTATGAATTATAGCAGTTCACTGCCGTTCACTATAAATATAAATTCAAGAAACTACAAATCAGTAGATCTATTTCTGGAAAACATGGATGAATTAGTGTTCGGCCGTAGTACTATTGCAATTTTTCAAAATATGGGGCTTTCTTATAATAATGATGCAACTAAATCTACACAACCAACTGGTGAAGCACCTAAGTCATTTGAAGGTATAATAGATCCAAAAGTAATTTAATGATAATATATTAATATTGTTTTCAGGGTGTCCCTTTGATTTGCATAGTCTTAAAGAAGAAGTTATCACAAACCCAGGAATAAAAGCAAAAGTTAAACCAATCTTGCTTTCATTCAACGGTTTGCCTGACAGTGGGAAAACAGCTGCTGTAGACTATGTAAGGAAAACGTACACTACTGAAGGTGTAGCTATCAAAGATGTTCGGAGTGAAATAGCAGAAGAAGCAGCAGAAGGCATTCATTATTACCAATTTATTGCTGCAAGTTCAAGTGTTACAAAAAATCTCATTATTAATGAGTTCACGAAGAAATCATGCTTTGCACCTTCAATTTTGTCAGCTTTCAATGAGCGGTTTCTAAGCCAAGGAAAGGTCCCACATTTAAATATAGATGAAATTTATGACACTTCCGTATTTGATCAGCCAGATTTAGATGAACATATTCACTTTATTTATCAATTTCTTTCAAGGCAGGATTTTATTGGAAAGTCTAAAAAAGCAGAGCAGTTGTCTGATCAAGAGAGGAGGGATACAGAGAATTTGATCAAGGCCCTTCCTGAAGGGATTGCTGTAGTTAATGTGTGGGATGTTACAATCAATAAAATTGTTCGTCATTTTTTGGCAGCTTTGCAGGGTCACCTCTACAATCAGCACACATGGCTTTTTCTGGATTTGGAGGATGACATTGAAAGCCTTACTATGCCACCAGAAGAGGGTGGCCTCATGAGCTGGAGACCTCATCTACATTACTTGCTTCGTCAGTGTATGATTAGTAAGGATAACGAGAAAGAGAGGAGGGGAGTTTGCACCATAATTGGTAAGCACAATGGGATGCAAAATGGAAACCTGCAAATGAAAGTTCAGGCCTTAGAAAGCAAAGTACGACCACTTGCAAAGCACATTGGTATAGCCACTCTCCTTGAAGACAAGATCAAAACAATCAATCTTAAAAGCCATAACAGCACTCATACTTTATGCCAAAATTTCGAGCGTGTCATCAATGAAACACCGTATGAGGAAATTCCAGTAGTTTGGGTCTTCCTTCGTAGTCTATTTTATCGCTTTGATTGGAAAATCATAGCTCGAGATGATCTCAAGGCAATGGCAGAAAAGTGTGGCATGGATGATGAGTCTTTGAAAGGGTTTTGCAAATTCTACACGTCATTTGGCAGCATTTTTGATCTGAGTCTCGTTGATCCCGATTACCAATTTGTTATAGTTAAACCAGTACAATTTTTGAGAAAGCTCAACGATCTTCTTCAAAATGACAAATTTCGCCAAACTGGAATCGTTTCAGAGAGTGCATGCAGGGATATGTTTGATGGTCATATGACAGCTTTCATGGATGCACTAGTTTCCCTTAATTTAGCTGCACGAGTGATAAAATCTAATTTGGAGTTGGAACCCAATGAGTTGACTGAAAATGATATTTTCTATTATATTCCTACACTCCGGAAAATGAATAAGGAGCAGCTCAATCCAAAATCAATACATGTTCTCACAAGCATTGACACCCCTCATATTTTCAAGCAGGCTACATTTACGAAGCATTTTCTTCGTTTACGTCCACAAGCCAAGCTAGTTCCATCCAAGTACCGTAACCAAACCATCATCAACGATACTGCCACCGGTACAATCATCACCTTAACTTCCTTTAGTCCAGCAACCAATCTACACCTGGACAAACCAAGTGAGGAAGTGTGCTCATGTATCGTTCAAGTTTATAATGATATCACAAAAAAAAGCCAGAAAGGTATGTAGCCCTTGCCCATCTTCAGGTGCAGCAAAACCAGTGACTACAGTCAAATACAGATTCATCAAAATATGCATGGAAAGCTCTGACTTGGGTCCTCAGTCCATTCCTTCATCAAGCTATCATGTCCTACCTGTTAGGTCGCCTTGCAGCGAATGCAATGATAGTAGCTGTGATGAGCTACTGAAAGCATGGAATGAAGCACTTACAAAGGCACATCAAAAATAGACAATCATAATTTATTGTAGCTTTTTTAGAATCCTACTCATGATTCATCCCTGCCGCAGTCTACCAAAGGTTAGGGAAATTATAAACACCAAAAACTAGATCTAGATTTATCTATCATAATGAAGTTGATAAAAGATATACCGTATAAGGGGTATATTTCCCAGGGAAAATATTTCACAAAAATCACATTTCAACTTATTCACAAGAAAAAATTTTTGCGTTCTTCTTCTACTGACCATTATTAGTATGGTAAAAAATAATTTTCATAGAAAATATTTTCACAAATTTTTTAACCGTGAAATTAGCGAAATTAAATCCCCGTGAAATACATGTATACCCCCTATACGGTACCATCTTATATCAAATATCATAGTCCTAGGTATCATTTTAGTGTGATACTAAAAGTGAAAGTGAAATAAGTCACAAGTTTCATGTATTTAGATTAAATGCAAAGTGATAATTTATTTGTATGTGAAAAGAAGAGCACTGCATGTGTTAAAATTATCACTAATATCATAAATCATGCAGTATAGTAGATTGAAATTTTGTCAGTCAAAATTTATCAAAATCATTTTTCATGTTTAAATTAACATTAATCATTTTGAAAAAATTTTGAAACAATTATGTAGGCCTGGTTTAATTCCCACAAAGCATACTAAATGAGCTGAATAGCATGCATGAGCTGACAAGCACTACAATAGTGTAATGGTAATACATATAACAAATATATAATAGTATATAATAGCATGTATATACATGTGTATAATAGTATGATAGCATGTATAGCTTTCAGGCAACTTAAAAATTTATGAAAAATCTATTTGATTAGAATTAGCTCAACTAGACAACATAAAGACATAAATGTCACAGAAAAAATTATAAAAATCAAGGAATCTCTTACTAATTTTTTGAAAAAATTGGCTAAAGACACAGTACATAGTACAGAACAAATTTTTACATAACTTCAAAGATTCAATTTTCATCAAAATCAGCTCAAAGTTTTCATAAAAACAATTCTTTAATATCAATTTTTGAAAAAAATACTCCGTATAGTATACACTGTACAATATTTGGTCAAATTTTTGAGCAATTTTAAAATTAATTGACAAGATTCTGCAAGAGTAGTTGAGCACTATGCCGAAATTCCTATACTATAGAATGCAGAAGTGCATGGATAATTTAATTATACAAACACACTCCAGAAATGACAAAATTTTTGACTACATGTAAATGAAAATTTGCAGGTGCATGTACGTGTATACTGGCAGATTATAAACTAATCATTTAAAATTTCATTTTATTTTTAGGTTTAAAACCTACGGATGTAGCTGAAATAGCTGAAAAAATTGCCTCATATTCTTGCTGTGAAATATCTATCATCAATCAGGTATTTGGCACTCAATCAAAAGAAAACGAAAGCAAAGACAAAGCATTAATAATCAATGACATTTTGCTCTCGTGGTACAAAACTATAGAAGATAACAATCAACCAGAAAGAGAGTTTGCTAGCAAGATATTAGAATTAGGCACTCGACTCTCTCAAACCTGTGCAAGCCAAGAAAATTCAAGGAAAATAGAGAAAGAGTTTCAAATGATAGCAGAGGGAATAGACGTTTATTGCAAAAAATAATTATTGAACTACATGTACAACATGCATATAACTGTTACCATTATGTGCTGACGTGTAGTGATTGTCATTTTATACGTACAAGTACATTATAGAAGGTTCTATGTTTTATATGTTACATGTTCATGTTGGTTTGGTAGTTTAGCTTTTTCTTTTTGTCCACCTTTTACTAAATCGTGTTGCTCTCTCTTTGAATTATTCTATCTAATTTTGATTTATTTTTTATGAAGCATTAATTTGCAAGTTTATTACTTTGTGTGTAGATCTACATGTATATTACAGTTTAATAAGTCTATTTGTTTTTAATAATTACAAATTATAAGGTAACGTTATATAGTCTTGTGAATATTATGCTAGTTTAGATGACAATATTATTCACAATTCAGCATTAATTTATTTATAAGAATACATGTAAGTACTAAATCCTGACTTTATCAGTTCTTTGAGTTTTTGATATAAATGTATGTGTGCCAAGTACATTCATAGCTTAATTATCCCTAATCAATACTACATGTATATGCTGCTTCTATAGGTACCATAATAATTCTTAACAATAAGGTCCCTTAGAGGTAAAAGCAAACCCATTTTGCCATAGACAGCAATGGAAAAAGTTTGAGGTATAAGATCATCATCGTAAATTTTAAAAGTTAACGCTGATGCAGCATAGCAATGTGCAGCTAATTGTGATAGACCTTCTTAAGTCTTATCATCTACCACAATGACTATAAGTGTTTATATATACTATGGTAAATTAATCAACATTAGTTTGAATCCTCTTTACGTCAGAAAAAGGCAGAAGTACACCACTATCAAATGGTAAAACCCAACCCACTTTTCCGGCACTAACTACAACACTATAAAAATATACAAACCCTTGGGCGTAGGTAACTACATATATGTTAATTAAACAGATAGACTAACCCTGTCCACACTGAGGTTCTCTAATCAGCCATCTTTGCACTTGTCCCCAGTCTTCACAAGCTGTCTATTAAATATAACTACAATTACAATACAGTATTAAAACTCAAAATTAATTATACCTCGCCTCACTGGGTAGCTCTAGAATGATACTAGCCACTTCAAGCTGTCTGTTCACTTCAGCATTGTGAGAGCACACCAAGCAATTGAAGCAAAATTAAATTGAAAACAATAATAAAGAAAATGTGATGATAATTTGCAATTTCTAGTTTCTAATTCTACAAAGTACAAACCACACCCACAATTATGCCATTTGTGACTTAAAAAGCAGAATTTTTCTCTTTTCTCACTTTTAAGTTTAAACACAATGATTATATTAAAGAGCAACAAATTAAAACAACATGCAATACACATGAGGAATTAACTAATATCTAACTAAACAATGAGAAGATAAACTGTCTAAAATAGCAAATACAATGTACATGTAGCTGTTCTTCTTTCTTTAGTCAGCCCCATAACCAAAATCCCTGTTCCTTAGAATAAGAGGAGCCAATAGTGTCCAGAGGTACACAACAAAGCACAGCCAAGCAGACGACATCTTAATCCAAACTGAGGCCCATGTGTTCTGGAACCTGTCAGACTCAGCTATACCAGGACTGAGAGAAAAATAAAGGTAAATAAGGGTTGAATAGCCATTATTTTTAAACTTACTTGTACCAATTAGTCAGTTGCATCATTACAAAAAGGATTGATATCACCATCATGAAGTGGAAGAAGGAATAAGAGTAGGTGACATGCTCAGTCTCATCATCGGTCACTTTCATCTTGGATTCTTTCACATCAGTGTCTGTGTCTTTATCATCTATCTCTTGTGCTTCTGTTGCATCGGGGCAACATTGATCACAGCAAAGAACGGTAAAACCCTATTGTTAAAAAAAGAATTACTAACCATGACTAGAGTAACCGCCCAACAGTGCTGACTATAATACAGAGTGGGGGGAGAGAAAGAGAGCAGGTTGAACTGACTCTAAAAAAAGACTACAATTATCACTGAGCATACCTCGGACTCGTCTTTGTGATTGCCACGAAGTTTCTGAAGCTGCTTGTTATTTGACAAGTAAACGCTTAAGGAGGAACATTATAATGACAGCCAGTTATACTGTATCACTTACCAGGCATATACCACTGTCACAAGCATTACCAATATACCAATGACAGAAGAGACTACCTCATTGGTATCCTTACCAAAAGCATTACTTACTTGACCCACAGTGCTGTTGCTACTGGAAAGAGGACAGTCATAACCTGTTGATTGAAAAGATCATGAAATCAATAACATATGCACATCTATACCATATAGACGGAAAATTTTGTGGGAATTTAATTTTGCGCTTTGCGTTTTAAAAATAAACGCATAATTAAAAACCGTAAAATTAAAATCACGTGGGCTCGATGGGCGTATATCATTAGCATCGTGTACGTGTCAAGACAGCGTGGCCAAATCGCATAATTTTAATTCGCAAAATTAAAAAACATTCAAAATTTATTGAAAACGCAAAATTAAATTGCCGCAAAATTTTCCGTCTATACGGTAGTACACATTAAGCATAAAAGGATTCGTTATCAGAAAATTAATAGTTAATGCCATAATGATAGGATCTGGGGCATAAAACGTTCCTGATTGTATTCACCATGTACATGTACATTTCACATAACAACATGCATTAGATGCACATACATGTATTAGCAATCACACATTACAAAAAGTAGAGTGAAAAAAATTCAAGCACAAATTTTGGCATCTATCACAGCCCAAGACTACACAGAATCCATATTACAATCATTTTCAATGTCCTTATGCCAAGTAAAAGTTTAAGGGAATCACATAATTTGAACAACAATCAGTTTTAACTCACAAAGTTACATGTACATGCAATAAAACTAGTAATAAGTACATGTAGCTACAATTATTAATTGCACGAGGAGGAAAACAAATTTTAAAATTCGCAATTCACATTATAATGCACATATTGAGTACATCATGCCACTCTTGGGTATACACGCATACCTTCTCCATAAGGTTCATTAGAAAGAGCAGAATAAGTTAAATAAGTTGTGTACAGAGCAACAATTGATGCTTGCAAAAGACCACTTGTGGGTTGAGCTATATCAAAAATAAAATTAAGATAAAATAGAAACATGTCTCTTCAAAATAATAAAGTAATAACTCATCATACCATTCTGTACTGGAGGCAATATAGCAATAATAGATACCGCAACACTCAGAATAAATATAGAGCACAAGAAGAATATATTCAAACCACATCCACCAGGCTATGAATACAAACAGGTAATGAGCAATATATATAATGGAAATAAAACTTACTCTGACAAAGAAAACAAATAATAGAATGATTCCAACCAGTGCAATTAAATAGAATATGATTGTTGGTATTAGGAGAGCTACGTACCACAAATTATTTTCAGTTTCTTTTTGTTTATCCAACCTACATGTACATGTATAACAATTAAAAACAAAGCAACAAAATTAATAAAGAATAAACAACAATAACATAACAATAATAACAACATAGAATAATTAGTTTCATACAACAATGTAATTATGTATTGTACCATGATTCAGCCCAGTTGTGTGCAAAGTCAATGAGGAATACAACTTGTAATATAATGAAAATGAAAGCACCGATCATTCCAATAACAAGACTCACTAAAAAAAGAAATAAAATTATTCATAATAAAATTACTTTATTCTCCGTGTGCATATGCATACGGTTTCCACAAAAATTGTACAAAAATATTCTGTTTTCAGCTACGTGTACATGTAATGTGTGGTGTAACTGTTGACTCATTATTATTATTGTTATTATTATTATTATTGATGATTGATTATTGTTTAGCCTACACTAGCATGTACATGTACACTCTAGAACATTCTAGACAATTCTACACATATGTACACTCTAGATAATTCTAGATATTTGGGTTTTGTATTTAAACGGTTGTTTTTCTTTAATATACTTTTCGTATGTTTGGTCCACTACATAATGCACGCATCAAAGAGCTAATGCATAATAGAAAATATGTACATGTATATGGCAGCAAAGCTCTGACCAAAAATACAATACACAATGTACTTTAAACACTAACATAAGTGTAACTATGTGTATACGTGTAAACGAGTGTAAAATATTAAAGGGGCTCTGCCTTGTACCAGTAATGGAGGTGACATATGTACAGAGGTGTAATGTACAAAAAGTGAGAGATGAAATGGCCTCCATGTACATGTACATGTATGTACAGTACATAGAGACATGCCCCAATAGAAAAAGAACAGACTAAATTTACACTACACACATGTAAATGTAAATGAAGTTTTAAAAAGAGGTATGCTCATTATACTCAATTTACTTGAAATCTAAAGTATACATGTACTGTATTTCACCATATAAACGCCTGGTCCAAATAAACGCCTGTCATTAATATATTCTAGCTATAGATACGCATATTTCTACCAAAAATAATGCCCCACTGTTGAGATAGCTCCAAAGTGCTTAATAGTTAGAGCCTCGTCTGACTTGCTCAGAGTTGGGGGTTTGATTCCCGCTCAAGGTCCCTTTTTATTATTTTTTTAACAAATTTTTTTGCTGCTAAGAAATAAACGCCCAGGCATTCAATCAGTAAAATACAGTACATGTAAAGGATAGAAATATCATTTGCATAAAAAATTCCAATACATGTACACGTACATGTACATAAAAAATAGTGTATACCTTGGGAGAAAACTAGTCCATGACGAGGGATAAAGAAGAAAGCAATAACAATAGCAATTACTATTGTCCACTTGATACACCAAAACCTAATAATAAATAATGTTAAAGACATGCAAGTTTTAATTCAAAATAATAACAAAACTTCTGTAGTTTCAAATATACAAATTACTTTAATCAATTAGTACATGTACATGATCAATGAAAAGAAGGCAACATAGTTATAAGGGAACAGGATGAGAGTCTATCAACAATCAGACAGATGCCAGTCATATGCTACTACATTAACGTGAACATTAATCATCATTCATGAATGCCATAATAAACACAATACTATATTAGGAGCATCATGTGACAACAATGAGTGATCAAAATGACTAGACATAATAAGACAAGTATTGAAATGTACATGTATATAAAACTACATACAATTCATGATTGATAAAATTAACTACATGGACATACATGTACATCGATCAGTACATGTACAACCAGTATGTACTGTGTACAAGTTATTTAAAATGGCAGAAAAATAACTTTGACATAGTTCAATTTCAAAATCAGATACTCAAGAGTATGATATGCTCTAATAAAGCATAATTTGAATAGACTAACCCATTTTGAATGTAAGCTCTAGGATCACGACTGCTAAAGACACACAACATCATTAACATCATAACAAAGAAGAAAGAGGCAGTGCCCATACATATCCTATAGACTGACGTATAACCAAATATAATACGACAGACTGCAGACTCATCATATACAGTAACGTTATCGGGAAGGACAGTAGTAGTGAAAGTAGGACCACCCGGGAGAGTAGCTGACTCTGGTATAATTGTCGCTTCTGGTAGATCAATATTGAGCTTACAGAGAAAAGACTGTAGGAGAAAGGGTAGAAATGGTAGGAAGAATAATCAAAATCCAATAAAAGGTTCACTTACATGCTCAACAGCAGTTCCAATGGAGGGTGCAAGAAGTATAGAGGATACGATAACAACAAAGACTAAGAAGGCAATGTACATGAAACGAGTGGTTATCGAGGACTTGGCATTGATATTATCACCAGGACAGCATATCCCACAAGCCTTAGGGCCAAGACAGCAACACAACAGCTCCAAGCAACACATCTTTCTTGTTTGTAAATTCCAAACTAACCTTTAATCACGTGATCATGCATTTTAAGAAGGCGTGGCTCATTACTTCTTCATCACGTGACATTTTAACAATCACGTGATAATGACAAACAGGTAGGTGTGGCATATTGACAATTAATTAATTATTATTTTTATCAAGTTTTTATTAAATGGCGGAAAAAGTGGTCATTATCATCGATGATGATGAAGATGAACCAGAAGCTCGACCAAAAGACAACGAAGTCATTATAATAGACAGTGAAGGAAGCATGGGTGCTTCAATATCTGGTACAAATTTATTAAATCCTCCTTCTAGAAAACGGCATCGTATTTTGTCATCAGATATAGATGACGACGATGTTCTGGTTACCGCCTTTGAACCAAAGAAAGGATGGCTGACGAACCCTACTATAAAGATTAAAACTGGTGGCTTGCATTTCCCTGCATCAGGATGTAGTAAATGCAGTACATGTACCAGCAATACGGGTAATAAAGGGAATGGTTCACCTGCCTTTGATAAAAATTATCAAGTGGCACTTCAATCGAATGGCGGCATTACAGCTCAACAGTCGTCAGTCCTTAAATCTGTTAATCCACATGCAACCACCTCACCTGGATGTAGGACTCCTATCAATACTTGTACTCCTGTTTGTTCAGTCATGTCTCACTCTACTACATATACTCCCAACACATCACTTACCAATCATTCTATCACTCCCACACCTTCGGATATAAATAGTGTACATGTACCTACTCCACTCTCTACTGTAAAGCAACCGGCCAGTAGTAAGAAATCACGTTCGAAATCCAAACGGCGTCAAAAGCCCAAGGCTAAGACCATGACAAAAACCGACACTAGCAAGTCTGATGGTGATGAATCAGACTACAAGTCTTCACTCTCAATCCCAATGTTCTGTATTCGATCCACTGGGGATATATCAACTCTACCTCTCGTCACGCAATTTATAGCTTCCTCATCTGTTCCTTTTATTTCTTGTGATGCACCCTCTTGGTGGTCTGAGTCGAAGTTATTTAATATCAGTCTTGAAGATCCAGAGGCCAGAACTGTTGTATATCCTTTAGAATATTCCGGTTTTCAAGTCTTGAAAGTAGAAAGGATACAGACGCTTCATTTATGGATACGATATTTGAGTGAAGTCAAGCTACTCATTCATTCGAGAGGAGAGAATTTTAAGCTGAATGAAGCTCTTCTTTATCATTGTTCTAAAGGTAGTAAAAATGCTATATGTGAGGAGGGACTGGACGTGAGGCTGACACATGGAGGCAACTTTGGAAGAGGGATATACTTCAGGTATTTAAAATAATTGCCTCATGCATGTATTAGTTAACATTTGTCTTTATCAGCGATAAACCTATAAAGTGTCACCATTATTCTACGGGAACAATGTATGTCTGCAAAGTTATTCTTGGAGATACTAAGGTATGTGTATGCTAACTTCTCCATTTGTACATGTACATGTATACTGTACAGTGTAATATAACGTACTCTTGTTTTTGGTGTGTATACAAACTACAAGTACAACACTTCAAGTGTTCTAACTTTATTTGCAAAGCAACACTGAGATGGGATCCAGAATGTAAAATAACCTGCTTGTGGCCTCAGAATGTCTGTATCATGTACTCTGAAGGCCTGAAATGTACATTGTACATGTAGATTATATGCATGAAGTTTAGCAATACATACATGTACATAATTACAAGTAGTACACACCACATCCCAGCTAAGTCCATTATCATGTACATGTCATGTATCATAAATTTGAATCAGAATGAGCAAAACCATCTACTACATGTACGTGTACGTGTATATACTATATGCTACATTAAGCTAATTTTATTTCTATTTTTGCATTTTAAAATCATGTTATGGCAATTATTTCAAATTGTATTAATAGACACAGCACATGCACATGTAGATACCGTATAGCCCAAAGTATTGGCGGGACAAATATAAATTTGTGGATTAATTGGCAGTTGCAATGAGCATCCTCCAAAATAAAGTCCACCATTTTGTTTCATTCTGAGCATGCTCAATGACACCTGGTTGCCAAGTTAACTCCCAATATTTCTGGCTGTATGCACATGTACATATGAGAGTTTAATACAATGTATTATAAATTATATAATGTTATTATTCGTCAATTTTTTGGAGCAGTTTTAATAATTCCTTGAACTTTCCTCAAGCATAAAATACAAAAAAATATTTTTTAACTGAAAATAAAATGAGGACCTTATTTTATGCCCTCTAATTGGATCAAATACATTAATGATGGCATGTGAGTAGATAGCTTTGCAGTGTTTCATTTTATTACATGTATATGTTACTGTTAGAAAATCACTTTATACTGATTGATGTAGAATTTACTCGTTTAAAATACCCGCCATCCCATTTTATTAATTATCACTTACATATGCATTGCAGGTGTATAGTCAAGGACATATTGATATAGCATTAACACGTGAACCAACAAAATCGAATGAGCCTGGATCACATTACGACTCTGTTAAGGTATTTATTAGCTGAAGTTGTTGATATATTTTATGTACTCTTTATTTAAAGGGATTTGTTACAGTTGGCGAAGAATATGTAATTTACAATAGCTATCGTTGTATACCATTGTATGTCATTGAATATGCCCAGAAATGAAACTACTAATCTTTTTAATATTGTATTATAAACAAACATGATTTATTTAATCCAACTTGATCATTTCTAATTCATTATTTAATAGCTGTATTAATTGATGTAAATATATGAATTATTGTCTTAATATAATTATTGAATTATCAGTGAGTGTTAAGCCTGCATGTACAGTTGTACACGTACATGTGTATGTGGAGGAGGATGAGGGGATTGAGCCCTAACATTTAAACGAAAGAGAAATGAAAATGCCTAATAGCAATAAGATTACACCATTTGATAATCCAAGTTGCCATACATGTATTTTTATAAGACGTACACAACCATTTTGAGTCAGCCCAGCCCCACCAACCTACGTTTACATGCAGATTTTGTGTCTGTAATTAATATGATATGAGGGATAAAGAATTGAATAAGAAAATGGGGTGTATGAACATAGATGTGGTAATTTATAACTATATAGTATTACACACAGGAATGTGGATAGACTCAGAGGAGCCACCTATACCTTTAAAGAATATAATGTTGATCCATGTAAGTCAAATGTATTTATAGATCTATCAACAAACTGTTTATGATGGTTTATCTTTGTTTTTGTTAATGTAGATGATAGTTGAGATTATAAGCAGCTTTCTGGCTCCGTTTCTTGATCTTAATATGGATAGGCTTAGAGCAGGACTGCAGGAGATTGGTCCTTGTGTCTCAAGTGAAATCATTGGCTATCATGAGAGAATGTCCTGTAAGTGATTGAATTATTGTAAATTACTTGTACCGCACGTACATGTACATGTAGTACTCTACATGTACCTTAATTGTATCGTGAAATGTTGAATGGATTAATGTAAAATGAAGCAACTCATGTCCCACTCATCAGCGAGTCCTAAGACACAAGCATTACATGTTCACGTACAGTGTAGACACTAGACAATAGTTGGAGAGGCCTCTTCATGCACCCATCATCAATAGAAAGTCTTTCCTTTATGATATTAACTACATGTATGTATAATATGACAGTTATCAGTGGACCAACTCAAGCTACGTTGTCTGTACATGTACCTCTCTTCTCTTACTACTAGTCACCATTTATTCTATAAACATGTATATCTCATAGCTGACAGGAAATCTAATTACTTTGTTAATTTAATTACTGTGTGGATGTTTCACATTCTTTTATGATAAATCCTTGTACAGTAATAACAGTTTACATATTAAGTATGGTCCTGTATATACATGTACTGTACATCCAGTATCTGGTCTAGGCCACATATTCTACTCATATAAAAGTGGTATACATGCATCAAAGTGTAACAGTTTCATGAACTGTAAGATCTATTAAGTACTTCTGAGGTTGTCTGTTGCCACACTACACTTACATGTACATGTGCATGTTTGTAAAATATTCATAATTTTATATTGTGCACACAATACAGATGCAATGTGTGAGTGAGATGAGTTCATATTAGTGAAGTCTCTCCTCTTCTTTGAATTATGCCTTATTTTATGTACATGTACATGTACACGTGTGTACAGGTTGGCTTTTAATGTCTTTTATACTTACAGCCTTTTGTATACATTTAGCAAAATATTTATTATTATTATCAAATTAATGACTCAGCACACAAGATGTACCGTATTTGCCTGATTAGAAGCCCAGCTTAAATCAACGCCCGTCCTTAAAGTATTCTCACTATAGATGCACATATTATAGCCAATCTATTTTTATTTTTACACAATTTTTCCCCCTGTTAATGAATAAATGCCCGGGCTTCTCATCAGGCAAATATAGTACATGTATGTACAGGTAATTTTAAACTGTGGTAGATTGAATATTACATTAAAAATGGAAAACAAAGACATTAATTTAATGATTATTACTACTACATATACATGCATGTGGTGTTTATTGTTTGAAGTGATAAGTGTTTGTTCACATGGTCTTCTTTAAGTTGTTAATGTACTCGTTGACGTCACAATCGTTTTCATCAACAAGTGGATCCCAGACCTTAATATTAAAGCCTTCCTTTAGGAGTTGAATCAATCCTTTGTCATCGTCTGAATGATGAGGGCGTGATATGGCTCCAATGTAGAGTGTAGGCTTGGGGGAAAACTTGTATAAATCAAGGAGTCTGGAGGAGCATGAAGAGCAAGGAGACTTTTTAATCCAGAGCTCAGTGTTGTTTGATGGTAATGGTTTATCCTTTATGAATTGAATGACAACATGGATACTGTCAGGAGTACTTGTATACACCTAATTGAGATAATTAATCATTATTAGTATGATTTATAGTTGTACCTTTCCTTTTGAAGTTCTTAAAAAGTTACCATCCTTCTTCTTAGCTTTGTCACAAGCATCAGACTCACTGTGATACTCACTGTCATCTAGTTCCCCTGGACTGTCGTAGACATCATCGAAATAATTTGAAGCTGGTAGTGGGATGTATTGACCATTCCTCTTTTTTTCTTTCTGAAACCCATGAGTGCTCTGACTCGCCTTTTCCTCAATGTCTAATTGTACATATGTCTTCCATTTTGAATCTATGAAAGGACTCTCAGATAGACAAACATGGTGTTGCTTGTTCCTCCTCCTCTTTATTTTATAATAAAGGAGGAAAGCCAGGGTAATAATAAGGATAAGAAGAAGAAGACCTGCAAAAACAGGAGCAAGAACTTGTACTTTAAGATTCATCTTCCTCTACAGCTGCAATGACTCTGATGAATTTGCCACACTGCACAGTCTGCACTACTCCTGCTGTATTGTTAATGCTTTAGTTGTGTGTATTTATAGTAATCATTGTAATTATGCTGATGTAATAGTAGCATGCTTAAATTTCCCTGGGTATTCCCCTGCACATTGTGCATGTGCTATGGTATAATTAATTACACTGTTGTATTTGTGGTACGTATAGACTGTGTTTGATATACAGTAGTTAATGTTGTCATTTTCAGTAGTTCCTGTCATGGCTAGATAATCTAAGACTAGGAGTCATTAGACAGTATGATTCTACATTAGGTTATAGAGTAGCTACAGACATGTGTATGATGGGTGGACTATATAGTATCAATAGATCTTGATAGTATCTTATACTAACAGTAAATCAGTCAATCAACGGTGTAGTTGTATATAACACTCCATTTTTTCATTTCTCATCATTCATGCAGCCTTAAACTGTTATTGACTTATTATGATGATAGTTGTACATGTAATAACAAACAATACTGACAGGATGTCAGCAATACAATTCAACCAATCATTTGCTTCCACACCATTCACACTGTTCACACCAGTTATTTGCTTTGCTGGCCATCACTATAGTATTGAGCAATATTTAATGATATTCATGAGTCAATTCAGCATTAGCAATAGCTCTGTGTCTGGCCTGTTAAATTTAAAATAATTTAATGTAATATGATTCCAGGCCTTATGTAGCAGTTGTATGTCCATGCCTAGATAATGACCACTATAAATTGGGTGGGAAGAACAAAAATAGTCTTGTCAAGACTGAGTTGACATTTAAATAGTAAGCTGGCTCACTTTGCTTAGTTCACATACCAGTATACAATCAAAAGATAATATCCCATGCTTCTTGATATTTCTAATATACTCCCAATAGAGGGTTAGGTGATGTTACTACACCTCATTAGTAATCATGCCTAAGCAGACTAGCTGTGTAGCTAGAATGAGTGCATATCTTAATAATAACTATACGACTGTTTATCTAGTTTAGAAAAAATAAGAAATAACATTAAAACTGGATGTTACTACTGATGTTTGTTGAAGCATGCACCATCATTTTCAAAATCATTTTCACTTTTCAGGACTCTATTTTTTCAATTTATTGAGATAGCTGGCTGTTGTTGTGTCCCCAGATCCATACAGTAGTGCATTCAGCTCTCCCCACACACTCAGAGTAAATCCAGCCTCAATGATATCAATTAATCCTTGATCATCAAACGAATCATTGAGATGCCAGATACGTCCAATATAAATAGTAGGCTTCTTTGGACAATCCTTGAAATATTGAATGAGGGATTGGGAACATGAGGCACAAGGTGAATTCTTTATCCAGAGGTCAGTGACTGTCTTGGGATTTTGATTGTCACTAATGAACTGAATCTCAGCATGTGTACCTCCAGGAGTGCTGATGTAGACCTGGCAAGAAAGAGGGAGTGACAACTAATGATATTATTGCCATTTACTGTACATACATGTACATACATTAACAGAAGGTGATTTATCAATTAGATCTAAAACCAGCATGCATACATACATGTACATTTACATACCTTTCCATTATTTGTTCTCAATAAAGTTCCATTCTCTTTTGCTGCTCTTTTGGCTGCCTCTGACTCGCTTAAGTACTGTCCAGACAACTCAATGGTGCTAATGTACTTCGGATTTGACTGGAATATATAATAATGAAGAGCTTGCAGATCAATTTGCACTTCCTTTTTTTCTTTTATCTCCTGATCTGTTTTTTCATCCTTCTTCTTTGTGTCATTGCTCGGTGGAGAGGAGCCTGCGCCAGGGGAAGAGGAGCCATTGCATACACATACACAACAGAAGGTGCCAGAAGCAGCAACAAAAAATAGTGTAACAAACACTGTCACGAAAACAATGACAGAATTGTTAGCAGCTTCAACAGAATTAGAAACAGGAGCAGCTGTTAGGGAAGACATAGTATATTGAAGTCTGTTTTTAGGTTTACAAAGAATCTTGTTTTATATATAAAGTGATATTTGATTTCCTTTCAAGATGAATGCTTATTTTCAGTAATGGTTGTTTTTAGTATTTTACGTCATTGTATGTTAGCATCAATTTAAATGCAAAAATTAATCACAAATGAGTTATTATTAAAAATATTTTTAAAAGACTCACAATAAAATTTTAAAGCAAAGGACATCATAAAACAATTTAAGTGTTTTTATTTAAAAAATTTGGGTACTTAAATTAGCGGATGCAATTAATATTCCTTGTCACTTGATGAATAAAAATCTGCCACTTTTAGTGATTTTTTCTCCATAATATCATCATCATTATCATAAATACTGCTGTAAGGATTATTAGGAGGAGGAAGAGGTGGACGTAATAATTCTTTGATTGTTTCTTCAGTTATTTCTTCCTCTATGGGCGGTGGTAGCTCTTCATATATGTGTGATTCATCAATGTGGAGAGAAGCAGCTCCTTCATCTTGTTTTAATTTAAGGTCATCACTTTCAGCCTCTAAATTCTTAGGATTGTGACTCCCATAATCATTAAATTTTAGCTCGACTTCATAACTTGGTTGATTAATGCTCGTTTCCTGCTGCCGCAGTGTCGCTTTCTTCCTCCTTGTAATGACAATAGCTACAATAAGAACTATATAGAGAGAAACTTGATATGCAATTCATACTAAGCTCATATCTTACTTATTATTAGTATGGCAACAGTTACTAATGCCACTATTATTCCAATGATTGCTCCAGTACTAAATTGATTGCTCTTTCCCTAAAAATAATATAAATATTGACAACATTATTATACTATTATGTTCTAACCTCTACCCCTACTGCACTGGGAACTGGAGATTTAGAAGAAATTGTTGTTGTTGAGTTTTTAATGACAGTAGAGCGTGGGGGATGCTCTAAAATAATTCAAAAATTATTAATAATAATAGTGCTTTCACTTATATACCTGTTGTATAATAGCGACTGGAAGATTCACTAGGCCCAATATTAGTATTACTAGTAGGGACGGTATTGCTAGCTTTAATTATTGAAGTCGTGCTGACTGGTATTACACATGCATCAAACATGGTATCATTACCACAAGGAAAGCATTTTCTTTGTCCAATATATTGTTGATAAGTAAGCGGAGGGCATGGAGAGCAAGGGCCCAATCCAGTGGGAGAGAAATGATGTGGACTGCACAACTCTGAGAATGAACAGAAATGAATATTGATACATGACATACAAATCTTTACCTTTACAATCTGATACTGATACAGAGCCAGTTCTACTCGTGCTGTAATTAGCAGGACAAGACACACAGTCACTCTGCCCTTCGTTTTCCTGATACGTACCTACTGGACACTCTAAACACTGTGGTACTAGCTCTTCTATGTATTCTCCAACTGTCTCACTCTCAACAAATGACCTCATATACACCTGACCATAGGACCCAGGCCTACAAGCAACTATAAAAATTGGAAATTTCAATGTGGCAGTAATTTTAAAATTATTGACATACCACATGTAAGATGGTCCGAATCCAATTGATATTCTTTATAGCAGGTAAAAGTTCTTGGACCAACTGTGTAATCGATAAGAGATACACTTTGTGTGCTGTCTTCAAGAGTAAATGTCAATTGATTGGTTCTTTGCAATAATAATAACAATGCCTCTTTATCTTGCTCTAGCTGTGATGCACTAGACATCATTTGTATAGCAAGCTCATCTAGTTCATTATTGGTACTTTCCATTCCTTCAAGTAATATAGTATTGTCACTCTGTAAGATGAATGAAATGGATGTAATATTGCCACTAAATACAATAGGAGAACCAGCAGTAACAAGTCCTGATATATTTGTTTCCGATACCAATAAATCAACAATTGGCTGGACCCATTCTTCACTTGCTCCACTTAACATTAAAACAAATTCATATTGTATAGTTGGTGTAACAGCTGACAATACATTCAGAAAGACTGGAGTGCTAGTGACATTACCAGCAGGGTTAAGAGCCAAGCAATGATACCATCCTTCATCATCAAAGCTTATATTATTAAAAGTTAGCACATTAGAGTTGCTGTTACTTATAAGAGTCCAGTTATGAGCTTCATTCTCTTTATAAAACCACATCCAGCCTGGAGCAGGAATACCGTACGCATCACACGTCAGCTGAAACCCTCTTGTATCTTCCTCGTATACATATGCATGACTTGGTAGAGTGAGATTGAATATTGGCTTCATAATAACATTTACTAGTGAAGGTATTGAAGCTGATGAGCCAGCACCATTGACAGCAACACACCAATACTCTCCTTCATCCCCTAACCCAACATTAGTGAGCATGAGTCTATTAGAGTTGGAGCCTGGTATAGTAATGTTATCCTTGACCCAGTAATACAGTAGACTTGAGCTAGCTGTGCAAGATAATTCAGTGGTTGAATTAATCTCAATTGAGACTGATGAAGGTGGATGAGTGGTAATAATTGGTGGCTCAGTGCACCATTGATCAATTACTATATTTGACTCTGTAACTGTTAAAAGTTTCTTTAAAGCATCATATGCTTCATTGTATGACAGACTTTTATTATAGGCAACTTGTAGTATGATATCTTTTATTTGTCTCAACTGACTAAGCTCCTGTACAGCATCAGCAGTGTCTTCTAAGATATCTTCTAGTTGATTAGTAATGCTACCAATGCAGTCAAGATAGCTTGAGCAGCCAAAGAGCTCTAATGGACCAATGCTTGAGTGGATGGCTTCTATCTGAGCCTGCCATGAAGCAAACGAGTTGTTTTTTAATAGTTCAATCATGGAATGGCTTTGCTTGGAGACGTCTGCTTTGATAAGGTTATACTGAGTAGCTATAATTGGAGAGATACCATTATGAGACTCGTTAGTATAGGGTTTCATTGTAGTAGCATTAATGAGACTCAATGTGCTATTTAACTTAGCAAAGGATTGACCCAATAATTCCAATATTTGTTTAATATACAGATTAGAGCCTTTAATTTGAAGACAAGTGTCATGAAACTTGATGGAACTGGAAAAAGTGGATGCCATTGCTTCGTGATTGTCCCGTTTTTGCCTTCTTGTCCCCCTTACCAGTAATACATAAGATTCTAATACACTGCCTGACAGTTGTCGGAGAATGAGCTCTCGTGGCTGCAAAAAGTTAACCATCTCAATAAAGGAATGCTCCTCACCAGTATCCAGTATTGAATAGCTGATTTCTATTGGTAGAATAGCTGGAGTGTAGTTTGTGAGCATGAATTGAAATGAGATGTTTGTTACTTCTAGGATGTCAATTTCTGTAACTGGTTGACTGTCAAAGGAGCTCACAAAAGGAATTAGTGCATCAGTCTCTTCAAATAGAGTTTCGTTTGCTTTAACATTAGTGTGGTAACTTTGATTAGCTGTATGAAACAAACTCTCCAGAAACTCTGTGTTCTCTCTCAGTCTATAAACCTTGGCATATTTTCTGGCAATGATCAGTTTCATTTCTTCTTCCTTGAGTAAGGCATTCAGGTATGTAGAGTACAGCTGGCTGATAGTAGAATTAATAGTAGCGAAAGACTCACCCAGCTCTTGTAAACAGCCAGCTAAATCAGTAAAACAAGAAGCGTTTGTAATTTCATGGTAGCAAGAAATCTCTTCTCTGCAGTTCAAAGCATCATATAATTGAGTATTATTATTGACAATGCATGGTCGTAATTTTGATTCATTAGCTGTACTGTTAATGTATTGTATCTTGTATCGGCTCATGTCTAGTACTCGGACTTTGATTTTGTTGCAGCATTGAGTTTGAGAGATGTAGAGGAATTTGTGCCATTGTGTCTCCCAACAAGATTGACACTGAATTTGCTCCTGCCAATCCTCTACCAGGACTACCTTAACTTGCCTTATAATATGACTGGCCGGTTCATACTCACTACAGCTACCAGGGACTGAGAAAGTGATGCTATTATTGTGTGTTTGACAGCTCAGTCTAGAGTTACATTCATTATTACAAGCATCATTATTATTGCAGAGCAATTCGTTGACTGATAATGTATCGTTATTGACTCTATAAGATTCTAGTGCTATCGTCAAGTTGTTAAGTGCATCATTTGTGTTTGCTTTTAGTTCGATTAACGATTTGTTGTCTTCTTTGAGCTGTTTCTCTTCTTGCAATAATTTGTCATTATTGTCAGTTAGTTGAAGATACAGTTCATCACGCCATTCTTCAGAAATCTCAACACTGTCTATTGCACTGTTACTCCTTTTAATGACATCATTTAACTCATTTTGCAAGTGTTGTGAAATATAGGATGAAACGTCAGAACGGAAAGTTCCAACGAATTCCCCATTAAGCTCAATGTTAACACTGTTATTTGTTGCAAGACTTCCAATAATGCGTGTATCATAATTCATAAAAACTTTTGCTTGCGCTTGAAAAGTCATTTGATTGTTTGCTATGCTAATGTTGCTTATTGAATGAGAGTTGAGGAGTGAGATATTGACAGAATACAGTGTACCTCTCAATTTATTGGTACTGGAGCTATACATTACCTTAAGAACTGGACCATTATTTGTATTTAAAAATGAGAATCTTCCAAATTTGTAAGGACTGTCTGATAATCGATAGGATGTTACTATTAACGACACGGATGGGTCTTGAGTGGTACTACCAGGCAGGAGAATATTGTGTCTTAGCCCTTCCTGAAAGTGAAGACTACCAATGCTGAGAGTGAAGCAGTCAGTGGTGAAACTAACATTGTTGATATTCAAAGATTCATCAAAGCTAAGGAAAGCAAGGATTTGACAATCAACCACTGATTGAGGAATAGAAAAGTGATCACGATAGAATGAATCAGTTAACTGTTCATTGTATTTCAGTATTGCTGATAAACCAACTGGCAAATTTTCATATGAAGCCCCTATATGAATATTTTAAAATATAAACATTACTGTGCACTGACTAACCTTCAATTGGATAGGTAAAGATGGCTGGATATTCATCAGAAGTTAACATTAGATTAACAGATTTTTGATTAGTAATTGTAGTTACATTAAGAGAAATCTTTCCTACTAATAACCCAGGAACCTATTTATAAAAATTATAAATAATAATGAGAGCTGATTGATATGCATGTAGTACCTCTTTTATTGTAGCATTAGGCTGATAATAAACTGATCCTTTAAATTTGACATCTGCTTCAAGATTTTGCCCAGTAAATGTTTTTTGAAAGTTAATATTAAGTTTATATTGATAGTGTGTTGGGAGTGTGGGCCTAAAGCGATGTTTACCATTCCAGTACACTAATTGTTCTTGTAGCTCTGGTGCAATAATACCATCCTCTTGTAGGGAAATGCTTTGGAAATTGACTTGAGCATTACCAGCTATAAATATATTTAAAGGACGTATTGATGCAGCGTTATTCTTTGAAACTAGCGATGGAGGTATTGCCAATTTTAGAGTTGGAGCTAGTCCACTACACACATCAATAATAGTACAAAGTGGACTGACTGGCTGTGCATGATAAAAAGCTGGGTGAGAATTGATAGTAACTTGTAGAAGTGAAGTTGTTCTGTGTGTGTATATTAATGCACTTGTGTCTGCTAGCTCAATTTTATCACAACCAGGAAGTCTCTTCACCTCCTCAGCTGTTCCTATAAACGTCATAAAATCGTAAACTGAATATGATGAAGAAGCCAATGAGTGTACTTCAATCTTTAACCATGATGGGAGGAAATTTTTGATAGAAGAAAATAATGAAACGGATAGGCTCTTATACTGAAGCATGGTTTGAATAATGTTACTGTTATAATCCATTATCAATGAAGGTGTATGACAGTGTTGATTTGGTGCTTTATCACAAGTCAGACACTGATGAGTAGAATAGTGAGTATCAAGAAATAAAGGAAGAGAATTGAGCACCTTTACTCCTGCAATGGAGACTGGTAGATACAATGAAGCAATACTGAGATGAACTACGCCATCAGTACTACTTTCCGTTTGGTTCCATTGACAATAAGAATGTAACGTGAGGTTAGAAAAACACTGCTCTAATGATAAAGTGAGTTGTTTGCTACAGCAACCTACTCCAAGATGACCACTTTGTAGTCCTTGAGATGTGAAATAATCAGGCTCTTCTCCACGAGAGCGTTCAGTAACCAGAATTATGGTATCATCAGGTTTGATGTATAATGAACCAGGAATAGCATCATAGCTAACTCTATAGAGACCAGATTTATTAGCTTGTACAGTATAAGACCCACTGCTTGATTGAGGACTTAGACTTATCATTTGTTTATTAATACCAAGCGAGCTGTTATCATTAGCAGTGATTGATACTATTGTTTGAATCAATGGTTTGGAAGTTAAAGTAACTTCTTCACTACTGCCCTTTACTAGTGGAGGTACAGGCTGGGCCACAGCATAGCCTAACTGACATCTCTCTCCAGTGTAGTATGTATCAGAGCAATCACAATTAATAGCATCCTCTTCTACTGAGCACGTTCCTGGCATGCAAGGATTAGGCTCACAAACATTTCGTCCTATATGCAACATAATAAGAGAGATTAGCTATTACCAAACGTCAAGCAGTTTTTGAAAAAATAGACTTGTGTACATGTAAAAGTGTCATATGATGCATTCTTTCACACATTATAAATATTTGGCAATTTCACTTTCCACCTTTTGGCAATCTTGCACTATACTAACTTTAAATTTGACTAGTTAAATTATACAAATTTAATTTATAGCAAGCAATAATTTGGCCCATGTTGTATCAGGAGCCCGTGGGCTCCTGTGAGAAATTATTTGGCCCAATTTTGAGAAACTTTAAAAATTAATTTAAAAATCCAGATTTAATCAGAATCAGCTCAAAGTTAATACACAACATAAGAAGATGTATGCGTATTAGAAAAAAATTATAAAAATAGAGATTTCTCGCCTAGCCATTTTTGACAAAATTTGGCCAAAGACCAAAGGCTATAGCCTTTAGCCTTTGGTTTATGGCCCAATTTTTGAGCAAATTTAAAAGTCATAAAAAATCAAATTTTGATCGGAGTCAACTCAAACTTTATACACAACATAAGAACATGTATGTGTATCAGAAAAAATTATAAAAATGAAGAATTCTTTCTGTTTGATTTTGTCAAAATACCCTGTACACAGCTAGTATAAGGGTTTTAGGCCCAATTTATTTTTGAGCAACTTGACAATCCACTGACAAGAAGCTGCATAAGCACAATGCCAAAATCCTGTGGGAAACCCTGTCCGACTGTTTTATAAAAATGGCAGATCAAATTAAGCAATGTTCAACTAATTTAATGTAACTTTAGGCTTTGGGCCTTTTTATGGTAATCAGCGGAAACTTTTGTTTTAATATCATTATTATTTTGAGTAAAATTTATGTAAAGAAGCACTTAACTGCTATCTGTTTACCTTTGCATGCTTGATTCGGGTACCAGTCTACTGCTTCTGATTGGGCTCCAGTGACATTGCATGTTTGACTCCAGATAATTTCAACATTATCATTGATGTACCCTGTCTCACAGTACAACTCACAGTTGTCCAAGTACTCATTACTGCAGGGATACGCAACATATGTATTCTCATTACTAGCTAAAGGAGGACATTGTGATTTAGAGCAACTTGTATCTTTCCCCGACCAGGATTGATTCGACCCCAGACATGTTCTGAATGATGATCCGGATATATTGTAACCAGGGTCACACCAAAACGTGCAGTTTTGATCGGTCACTTGCTCTCCACTACAGCTCATGTGCCCATTCATTGGTGCTGCTATCACTGGACAATCAAGAGCTACAAATATAAAAACATTTTAATATTGTGGCCTCAATATATCTTGTGTAATGTATCATCGTAGACTGCTCATGTTGTATTAGTGTGTTAATTACTATGCCCATATGCTCAATATCATTACCTATGCATGAGGAGATATTTTTACTGTATCCCTGACGACACTGACAGTCGTATGATCCTACTGTATTGATACATATCTGTTGGCATCCTCCATTATCACTCAAGCACTCATTAATATCTATCAATAATTCCATATATAACATTATTAGCATTGACTAATAATTACTTACCGTCACATGATGCTTTATTTGTATTTAAAGTATATCCCACAAAGCAATCGCAAGAGAACCCACCAATACTGTTAATGCAGACTTGAGAACAATTTGATGTATTGCTTGTACATTCATCAATATCTGTAAAAATAACTATTATCTACAAATACTCTCAATAGATAATAAATCATTTTGATAGCCACATTTCAAAGCATGATGCGCATGCTCAATGGCACATGGCCACAAACTTGTCAGTTTTCAAAATTTAGCAATTTGCCAAAATTTTCTCCAAAGTTTCCAGCTATAGGTACAGTCCATGAAGGCAGTGTTTATTATTATAATGCTCTTCATGACAAGAACTTATGAAGCTTCATTCTGTATCAGGCTATTAGCTAAACACTTACCCACACAAGAATAACCATTATTATGTATCCTGTATCCTGGATTACATTGGCATATATAGGAACCGACAATGTTGACACAGCTGTGTTGACATCCCCCATTACTATTTGAACATTCATTAACATCTGAAAGAAAACATAACAGGCCAAAGAGCTATATATCATTTGCTAACCGTCACACGATACTCCGTCACTATTAATGATATAGCCTTGATGGCATGAACAAGTATAGCTACCAACATTGTTTACGCAAATTTGAGAGCAATTAGACGCATTAGTAGTACACTCATCAATATCTATAATGTAATTATGTTATCTGATTATAGTAGCTAGTGTCAGCTTACCTAAGCAGGATCTGTTATTAGTACTAATGTAGTAGCCAGACTGGCATTCACAGTAATGAGAACCAGGGGTGTTAATACAACTGTGCTCACAACCTCCATTAGAATTGTTGCACTCATTAATATCTAGAGAAAGCAATGAATGAATTTATGTGACGCACATTTGACTTTCCTGTAACTTAGAATAGGCAATTATCATTTTTCATTATAATAGTAACAATACATACATAATAATTATTATTACACTATACAAACCTTCACATGAGTGTCCATTAGGCAATAGATTATACCCATCAAGACATGAACAGTTGTATCCACCAATCTCATTCACACACACTTGATCACAGCCTGAACTGCCATCACTACATTCATTGATATCTAGTGTACATGTAAATAGAATTAATTGAAGTGTACTAAATTTACGATTATTATATTTTTATTTCATTCAAGTACAGCTTCATTTCAGGATAAAAGATTAATCTCAATATTACCTTCACAAGCACTTGAATTAGTAGCTGAGACACGATAGCCAGACCAGCATGTACAGTAGTAGCTTCCAGCAGTATTGTGACACACATGCTGACAATCATCAGCACCAGTACAACACTCACAGTGATCTACAGCATTACGTTATTATAAAGGTAATTACTATTAATATTCATTATTAACCTGTACAAGATGTTTTGTCCTCTAATAGTGTGTAGCCACTTTGGCAGGAACAGATGTGTGATCCTGGCGTGTTTGTACATATTTGACTACAGTCCCCATTATTATCCAAACACTCGTTTATATCTAAACAATGAAAGCACAAACAATAGTAAGTGAGATAACTAATAGATCTAGTATGGAGTAAAAACATAGTCATTCAATGGTAAGATAATGAGAGGTGGGTATATAGAAGGGAAAGTAGTTGAGGGAGAGAGAGAGGAGGGGAAAGGAAGAGAGAGACACAGAGAGACAGAGAAAGCAAGGAGGGAGAGGAGTAGTTAGGCCCCACCTAACTAGGAGAGGAGAGAGAGAGGAGAAGGAAAAAAGGATAGAGGGGCAGATACCTGAGCATGTTTCATTGTCACTGTTGAGTATGTAACCAGGATGGCAGTCACATCTATAGCTTCCTGGTGTATTGACACATAATTGCTCACACCAATTAGTACCATTGTTGATACCAATACCAACAGCTCCATTAGTACACTCATTAATGTCTATCAAAAATAAATACAAGAGTAATAACAATAAAGTACTTATGTATTTACGGTACGTGTATGTGGCTAATCCTAACACGTTGATTAATGTAACTAACCTAAGCAAGTGTGCTTATCTGTAGTCAAATAATAGTTGCTATTACAGGAGCAAGAGTAAGAACCAGGACTATTATTACAGTTGTCACTGCAGCCACCATTATTATTCAAACACTCATTAGTATCTATAAATTAAGATTAGGTATTCTCACACATACATACACACACTATATAAGGTGTAATAGATACACATATGAACCAATTGCGTCATGTACTTACCAACACAAGTATGATCATCATTGCCTAGATGATACCCATTACGGCAAGAACATGTGTAAGAGCCATCATTGTTGGCGCACGAATAACTACAGCCACCATTATTGGTATTACACTCATTGATATCTAAAAGGTGGTCAATACCAATTAAAATTTAAACATGTGCAAACTCCTTTGAGATTGAGAGAATTTGATGACTAAGCTAAACAATGTATGTTTATGCCAACTAACTTGCTCAGCATATTTTTGTGTAGTCTCTGTCTGTGAACACAAGTCAATATAAACACTAGTAAGAGTGATGTTTATCACTATTGTTTATATTACATCTACACTGTTATAAATAATGTTTAATACTAGTGTTTACATTACTGGTACTTTATTATAGTGTTTAATACTAGTGTTTACATTGCTGGTTCACTATTATGAGTACAAAGGGACCTTACCTACACATGAATGTCCATCTGTAGCTAAGTTATATCCACTGGAGCAATAGCAGGAATAAGAGCCTTCACTGTTGGAGCAGTGCTGAGCACAGCCTCCATTGTTACTAGAGCACTCAACGATATCTAAACAATATGTAGTAATTCACATCGGTCTATAGTTTGGGAGTGTTATAATCAAATCTAGTCAGAGAATTTGCTTATTTAGCATGTCTGCAATCTGTAGAGTAAGCAACAATAATCTGTAGTCTAAGCAACGATGCAAAAAATCAATTATTAAGCTTGCTTTCTTCTTTTTCTTGGGATAGCAACAGTTTATTTAGCAAAAATAATAATAGTAGGGAATTGCTTATTTTTGGCCGAGCTCTATCACCTTGACAGCTATTGATACTATACTATAATTATGGTAGTGTATGATATTATAGTACTACTGTATGTAGTGTTATACCGTCTGAGCAGGATGACCCTGTCCAGCCAGAAGAGCATGAGCATAC